AGATCGTTCCCACGCCCCAGATGGAACTTCAAGAAAGCTAACTGGTCTGCTTTCACCAGTAACCTTGACAAATGCCTAGGATGGATTCCACCAAAGAGCCAGTACTACGGGAGACTAACAGGAGCAATAATCACCTCAGCAAAAGCGACAATCCCTAGAGGATACCGCAAAGAATATATCCCTGGTTGGACAGAACAGAGCGAAAAACTGTATGAAGAATATTGAGAAGATGGAAAGCAGGAGATTGCAGAAGAACTACTCCACAGCATTAATGCTGCCAGGCGTGAAAAATGGACACAGACAGTAGAAAACCTAGACTTCCAGAAGTCAAGTCGACAAGCTTGGTCCCTACTGCGGAAACTCGGAAGTAAAAACCCACCCGTTCGCCAAACCAACCTAGTAACTCCAGACCAAATAGCTACGCACATAGTGTCAACCTCTAGGAACCTCAAAATCGTTTACATACAATTAAAGTTAAAAAAGACCTCACAACCATAAAATCTAGTCTTGCACAGTCAACAGAATATTCCAACCCATTTACGCATGAAGAAATATCGCAAGCCCTAAATGAAATGAAAACAGGAAAAGCGCCGGGTTTCGACGCCATTCACGCTGAGTTCCTCAAACATAGCGCAGATTCACTAGGCAATGGCTCGCAGAATTCTTTTCTGACATCCTTCAAATGGGAAACGTCCCCCACCAACTCAAAAATGCAAAAATCGTCGCCATTTTAAAACCAGGGAAAAGTAATAATTCACCGAAAAACTACCGCCCCATCGCACTCTTAAGTATGGTGTACAAATTGTTCGAAAGACTGTTGTATAATAGAATCAGCAAAACCATATTCCAACACTTACCAGTGGAACAGGCAGGATTTCGGCTAAACCGCAGCTGCACAGACCAGGTACTCGCCCTGACCAATTATGTGGAATCAAACTTTCAAAAGCAATCAAAAACAACAGCTGTCTTCATCGATCTATCTGCTGCTTATGACACTGTGTGGCGACAAGGGGCAATATAAAAATTAATGCGAATAATCCCATGCAGAAAGACCACTGAGGTTATTAACGCCATGCTATCCAACAGATGCTTTAATGTTATATTGGGAGACAAGACTAGTACCCAAAGAAAACTGAATAATGGACTTCCACAAGGATCCGTGCTGGCTCGCATGCTTTTCAGCCTCTACATAGCAGACATGCCAGAAACCACATCAAAAAAGTTTGGATACGCAGACGACTGGACGCTTGCCGCAAGTCATACAGAATTCGAGGTCACTGAACGCATTCTAACAAACGATTTAAATGCCCTAGGGAATTATTTCCGCAAATGGAGATTGCAACCCAATCCAACTAAGACAGAAGTGTCCTGCTTCCATTTGAACAACAAGATGGCCAACTATCAACCTCAAATCAATTTTGGGGATAGACTTCTTAAATATAATAAACACCCAAAATACTTAGGTGTTACACTTGACAGAAACCTTAACTTTAAAGAGCATCTTACTAAGACTGCTGCAAAACTCCGAACTCGTAACAACATCCTGCAAAAGCTCTGCGGCACTACATGGGGCTCCTCAGCACCCACACTTAGATCGACAGCATTAGGACTGGTATACCCCGTAGCGGAATACTGTGCACCATTATGAATAAACAGTCCACATACTCACCGTGTTGATGTCCAACTCAACCAAGCCATGCGAACTATATCGGGCACAATCAAGGCCACGCCCACCTACTGGTTACCAGCTTTGAGTCATATAGCTCCGCCATCCATCCGCCGGGAACATGCCCTTGTCAGAGAATTTACAAAAATCAATACTGATCCTGAGCTCCGCTCCCATGTCGGAACTTCCTCCAGAGACATAAATAGGCTCCGTTCAAGACACCCGCCTCTAAAAACAGCAAAAAGGCTGGTAGATCAAAACTTTAATGTAACTGAACGGTGGAGAGAACAATGGGATAATAACGCTGCACCAGCTAACTAGAACATGCCATGTATTACAAGCAAACCTGAGGGCTTCAACCAACCGAGACGAATTTGGACCACACTCAATAGAATAAGGACGAACTGTGGCAGATGTTCCGACTCACTTTTTAGATGGGGAAAAATACAATCACCAAATTGCGATTGCGGCGCCGAAAGGCAAACAGTAAAACACATGGTAGAGGAATGCCCGATTAGATCCTATAATGGCAACCCTTCAGATTTCCTGGCTGCTACAAAAGAGTCAATCGAATATATTTATAATCTAGATGTTTGTTTGTAGAATAATATTTTTATATTCGCCATATTTGATTGCGTTTACGACTTTTGGAGATTAGATATATAATTTTTACTGTATTTATTACATTGTACTAAGCTGTATCTAAATAAGAAAGGGCCATTACTTAATGACAGGCAGGCGCATCCTGTTATATAATATTTAATTTTAAACCCACCACCATAGCAAACAGATTAAAAGTCAGAAACGTTTTACTAAGATCTGTATTCAATTTAGTATATTTCGAACCAAAAAATTTAGAGAAGCTATTTAGTGAGTCTACATTGTATTATCGCTTTAACAATGACTTTTTGTAAAAGAACGATTTTAGATTTGTCGCTCTCCAATACGCCTAAGTTTACACAGACTTCAGACTAGAAAAAGGTAAGTTTTTATCACTAAATTAATATTTTTTGAGTCAATCGTGAAAATATAAATACAATGTCACTGTCTTGTTAAACGTTTGTAAAAGGACATCCCTATTAATAAATTATGTAAGTTAATGTCTGCTTCCGCTGTAACAAAAATAACTATTGCAGGTATAAAAAAATAAGTTCTACCACATTAAGAATTTAGCGATAGATATGGCCAAGATACAATTATCAAACCAGCTAGTGTTGCAAGAGAAAAGCACTATAAATAAAATTTTGTAGTAACATAATTCAATAAAGGATAAAGATTATCAACCAAATTCAGATACTGATTCAGATAAAAGTGAAAGTACGATTCCTGCAATTTTACCTGCACTGCCAGGAGGTATTCGATGTACATCTAATGCTGTAATAGACTACATAGCTGATTTGGTAGAAGGGAATAAAAACCCCTACACTCTAGTGAACAAAACATAAAGTTGTCAACATAAAGCAAACAGAAAAGAAACGGTCACGAAATATTATTCACTGGAAATCGAATGAGAGAAAAAAAAACTATACTGGTGGAATCTAAACTAAAATCAAATACTTTAGTTTACTCTTTTCTAATTAAGGGTATTAGCACTGTATTATGTTAGCTTTAAATACACGTTAAGGATTTCACAACAAATAGTGAAGACTGCTTTATTAAAGCGACAGGATGGAAGCATGGTTCAACGAAACCTTAGGGACACTCATGAACCAAGTAATAAGATAACATAAACAAACAACTATTGATTATGTGGTATCACATACTTGATCCTTTTCGAAATACAAGTGTCACTACGATTGGAAAAGGTTCTAAAAGCATTATTTGGGGTCTGATTTAAATATTGAAAAAATGTATAAATTATACAAACATGAAAAAACAAAGAATATTAATGGTACTGAAGTCATGGCTGTATCGCTTTATAATTAATAAGCAATTTAATTTAACATTTAAATTTCCAGAACGGTTCTGGGGAATTTAAACGACTTCGATATATTTGCAGCTAAAATACCAGCAACTGATAATGATACTGGCCTGCAAACTACTGGTGAAAACTACACGAGAATAAAAGAACAAAAACTTGACAGAGCAGGCCGTTGGAGTGTCGAAAATGTCCAATCGCCATCTGTGAGTGGAAAAAGTCAGGATTCTAACACAAGAAAATTTTCTGGAAAAGTTTAAAACCCATTGGCACACAAATTGGTAGGGATGAAGTACTGCAAAAAACAAGCAGGAATGAGATTAGAGTAATAACAGGTTTCTTTAGTAGACATGTGCCCACCTAAATATTTGCAACCATTGAGGCAGTTTTTTCGGAAACATAGCAGAGAACTTTAAATAGTCAACTAGTAGTTTAAAGCATTAGATCGCAGGCCAGATCGAGACTATCAAATGAATTATGTGGTACCTATTCTCTAGACCTTTGCAAGAAGCTGGTACAGAGTTGCAGAACTCTGGACTAAGTATCATAAATAACAATGAGCTGTATAACGATCAGTGTATAACAGACAACTTTCGAAAAACAAGGCCGCGGTAAAAGTCTTTTCAAGAAATTTGAAAATTCTTGTAGTTAATAGCAATTGAAGCTATTATTTTGGTATTTAAATAACTTTTATTTTATGGTGAAATAATTACAGAAAAAAATAATAAAATAATATCTTTATTACAATTTTTTAATTACCTATTATTATTTTTTATTAATTATAAATGTAATTGCCTATATATTCTTTAAATAATACGTAGTAGTATTAACAAATATCGTGTTTGATACTTGTGCCAATTATGTTACCGAATCTAATTAACATTGACATTACTTATAAAATATCCTACCTATCAATTAAAATACAATTGCATGCTATCATATTAAGATTTTGTGTATTTTTAACGATTTTTTAACGAAACCACGGAAGTAAGAGGCCATCACGTACAAAAAAAAAACGAATATTTCGGACCTACAACAAATTTTAAATATCCAAGGACCAAAAGATATATACAGAAGTTAGAAAAGAATAAACATTTCCCTCTCTGAATTGTAACCTTAAACTTTTAGTATATAACAAAAATAATGTGATACACAATTTTTTTAAAAACTCACTTTCTCCATGTTCTCACACAGTACAAAAATTATCATCTTATATACACGGACGCATCTAAGACCATAATTGGAGAAGGAGCATGCTTTGTGATATCACATGAACATTCTATCTATAAATAATTATCTCCTGGGACAAAGTATTTTTACAGCAGAACTATTTGCCATAATTAAGACCTAACCGTTATTTTTAAATTTTTAATTTTGTAATTTGCAAATATACAATTTTACATAAATTACACTTACCTGTTCAAACAGGATAGATATTTCATGCTCCTTTTTATTGGGTGTAAGACCTTTTACTCCTTTTACGTACGACTCGTCGGAATCATAAAAATGAGGCATCGATACGTATATTGGTACGCCTGCGCATTTGTATAGGTCCATTAGTCCTTTTTTGAGACAAGTGTCCGGCGTATAACAGTAGCATTTTTCTTCTTCATTTTTTGACATATCTCCCAAAGAAGCTGTGTATTCGTTGACGGGTATACCATCATATTTAGTTTTTTTAACCCAGAATGCTTTTAGTGACCTAAAATATATAATTGCAATATAAATATAAAGAATATTAGGGGTACAAATTTAAAATCTGTTTCTATAACAAAACTGTTTATTTGTACGTATTTCATTTAACATTTGCACCTATATGTCTAAAATAAGTCTAAATAAATGTAATTTAGTTTTTGTTGTCCAAAACCAAATTCATTTAAAATCTTAAATATATATTGCCCCTGTGAGTTCATTTCATATAAGGTAAAGAGAACTAGGTATAAGGCTTACAATCAATTTAGTCTACCACACACGACCGGTGTCACATACCACAATTTTGCCATAAGCATCCTCAGGTCACACGGTATGTGGCAAACTTAATGCTGAAAATACAATATCACGTATTAGAGTGCTGTCTGGTACAAAATATATAACGATTATGCCAATATTATAGATCTCTCTTACTTAACCTTCTTACAGTGCTGTCTGTTCAAGAATAATAATTTAAATAAATCACACATTTCAAAATATATGTCTACAATAAATTTAAATAACTTTTAAATAATATGACATAACCCCGAATTTTCAACAAACAATTTACATTGTCTTAATTGATACATTATCTTAATAAGTTTTATGACATTGTCATACAATTGCCACCTTAATAAAATCTCAATTAATAACACACATTTCATAGATATATCTCTTGAATAAAAATAAATAACTTTTAAAGAACTAAATAATATAGAACATCACTCTCATTTAACAAATAATTACACTACACCTATTTTCTACTTTATTGGATAAAATCCATCTCCTCAAGAAACTTCCCCATTTATGGTCAAACAATTACAATAGTAAAAACTGAAGTTCTCTATTCATCAATACAGGATAGTTTGAACTATGTTCTTCCAACCATTAATTAATAGAGTACCGGCATGTAAGTAGTGTTTTGTTTATTTACTAATTTATTACAATTCAATAGACTATTTTTTACTAATTTGTGGGTCTTACTTACTTTGTCTGCTTAAACAGTTTATTTATTTTGAAAAATCACAGACATGCAATATTGGCATAATTACTGTAATTTATTTCATTTACCTTTGTATATTTTTATAAGACAACACCCTAATATGGGTTTTATTATTTTAGCATTTAATTAACTTGTATCGACAGACCTAAAGATGCTTTGCATATTGTAGAAAGTAAAACCGGCCGCCTAGATAGTTAAATTAAACTGATTGTGAGTAAGTCTCATTTATTATTTCGTTTACCTATTCCATTATTTAAATATAGAGACAGGTGATCATCGGTTTTAATTCACTATTTGATAAATATCGGAAAAGTTCTTGAAGGGAAGAGTGATATTAACAACTATGAAGGAAATGTAGTTATCAATGTAAATTGTTTGTTGAAAATTCGGTGTTATGTCATATTATTTAAAAGTTATTTAAATTTATTGTAGACATATATTTTGAAATGTGTGATTTATTTAAATTATTATTCTTGAACAGACAGCACTGTAAGAAAATTAAGTAAGAGAGATCTATATATTGGCATATTTTGTTTTGTAGGCATAAGAGAGGCTATAAATCCTGAAACCGTATCCACCCAAATTTTTTCTGAGACTAATACCCGTATAGAAAGACATGGAATTGAACATTTTGAGACTGAATCAACTTTGGAAAATCATTGAATGGAATTTGTTCAGACGACTGGTGTCCCTGATACCAAAGTCCATTTGACTATCGTCTGAAATGTTGAATTTACGTATAAGGGCGTCAAACAGCGACAAATGAACAAAAAACCTGTCAAATTATTACTGACGCATACCTACAAGAAGGACAATGATATTGACGAAAGGGAAAAAACGTCATATTGAAGACTTGCTTAGTCAGCGAGTCATTCCCGAAGCTTTTGGTCCCATTTTAAGAACTATCTTAAAGTCATGATTTGTCTTATCATTAATTATTACAGTGTTTAGATTTTTAGAATAATATCCTCATTTGTATATTTATAAAATGACAAATTTAGTTTATTAAATACAGTACAATGTATTGACCAATATTTTACAATTTTGCAGTTTTATTTCGTGTAATGTTCAAGAAACCGATGTCTATCTCAATGAATTATTACAGGTTCATATGCCCTAAGCCTCGAATTTTAATTATGGGCGCCTCAGCAATAGCGCCTTATCATATTTTAAGAGTAAATTTCAGGGTAAAGCAATGTCAATATCTAAAAATAAATACAAGCATTACATAGCTACATATATAGTCAACAGGAGTGCAGAATTTGGTTAAGTTAAATGCTGTAGTTCCAGAGAAAAAAAATTAAAAGTTCACATAAAATTTTGTTTTACTCTCCTGAAAAGTTTGCGGATTTGGGGGTTTATGGCACTACGAAGTCTGAGAGCGTCGCTTTATATATTAAATGGCCAACTATATGGCCCAGGAGACAAATTCGTTAAATTTCCCGTGCTCGAATTGGTATCACTAAAGTGTTATGATCATTTCGGCCTATCCCAGCCATCGTCAGACACTAGGGCTGATACAAATTCAAACTCGGAAAGTAAAACGAATGTCTCCCAAATCTTTACTACCGTGTAGTTAGCTTATAAAGGCGCCCCCTACTTTGGAGGCCGTGAACGAAACGATATGAATAATCGTTTTCTGTATCCTTTATGCTATGCGAAATTTGTAAAGAATTAAATCTTTTAGCGAAAGCCGCTATCGCTTTATATATTAAATGGCCAACTATATGGCCTAGGAGACAAATTCGTTAAATTTCCCGTGCTCGAATTGGTATCACTAAAGTGTTATGATCATTTCGGCCTATCCTAGCCATCGTCAGACACTTGGGCTGATACAAATTCAAACTCGGAAAGTAAAACGAATGTCTCCCAAATCTTTACTACCGTGTAGTTAGCTTATAAAGGCGCCCCTACTTTGGAGGCCGTGAACGAAACGATATGAATAATCGTTTTCTGTATCCTTTATGCTATGCGAAATGTGTAAAGAATTAAATCTTTTAGCGAAAGCCGCTATCGCTTTATATATTAAATGGCCAACTATATGGCCTAGGAGACAAATTCGTTAAACTTCCCGTGCTCGAATTGGTATCACTAAAGTGTTATGATCATTTCGGCCTATCCCAGCCATCGTCAGACACTTGGGCTGATACAAATTCAAACTCGGAAAGTAAAACGAATGTCTCCCAAATCTTTACTACCGTGTAGTTAGCTTATAAAGGCGCCCCCTACTTTGAAGGCCGTGAACGAAACGATATGAATAATCGTTTTCTGTATCCTTTATGCTATGCGAAATGTGTAAAGAATTAAATCTTTTAGCGAAAGCCGCTATCGCTTTATATATTAAATGGCCAACTATATGGCCTAGGAGACAAATTCGTTAAACTTCCCGTGCTCGAATTGGTATCACTAAAGTGTTATGATCATTTCGGCCTATCCCAGCCATCGTCAGACACTTGGGCTGATACAAATTCAAACTCGGAAAGTAAAACGAATGTCTCCCAAATCTTTACTACCGTGTAGTTAGCTTATAAAGGCGCCCCCTACTTTGAAGGCCGTGAACGAAACGATATGAATAATCGTTTTCTGTATCCTTTATGCTATGCGAAATGTGTAAAGAATTAAAATCTTTTAGCGAAAGCCGCTATCGCTTTATATATTAAATGGCCAACTATATGGCCTAGGAGACAAATTCGTTAAACTTCCCGTGCTCGAATTGGTATCACTAAAGTGTTATGTCATTTCGGCCTATCCCAGCCATCGTCAGACACTTGGGCTGATACAAATTCAAACTCGGAAAGTAAAACGAATAATATAAAAATATACAAATACTTTAAACTAATATATATAGATATATAATAGTAAAGCTTGTTATCGCTTTATATATTAAATGGCCAACTATATGGCCTAGGAGACAAATTCGTTAAACTTCCCGTGCTCGAATTGGTATCACTAAAGTGTTATGATCATTTCGGCCTATCCCAGCCATCGTCAGACACTTGGGCTGATACAAATTCAAACTCGGAAAGTAAAACGAATGTCTCCCAAATCTTTACTACCGTGTAGTTAGCTTATAAAGGCGCCCCCTACTTTGAAGGCCGTGAACGAAACGATATGAATAATCGTTTTCTGTATCCTTTATGCTATGCGAAATGTGTAAAGAATTAAATCTTTTAGCGAAAGCCGCTATCGCTTTATATATTAAATGGCCAACTATATGGCCTAGGAGACAAATTCGTTAAACTTCCCGTGCTCGAATTGGTATCACTAAAGTGTTATGATCATTTCGGCCTATCCCAGCCATCGTCAGACACTTGGGCTGATACAAATTCAAACTCGGAAAGTAAAACGAATGTCTCCCAAATCTTTACTACCGTGTAGTTAGCTTATAAAGGCGCCCCCTACTTTGAAGGCCGTGAACGAAACGATATGAATAATCGTTTTCTGTATCCTTTATGCTATGCGAAATGTGTAAAGAATTAAATCTTTTAGCGAAAGCCGCTATCGCTTTATATATTAAATGGCCAACTATATGGCCTAGGAGACAAATTCGTTAAACTTCCCGTGCTCGAATTGGCATCACTAAAGTGTTATGATCATTTCGGCCTATCCCAGCCATCGTCAGACACTTGGGCTGATACAAATTCAAACTCGGAAAGTAAAACGAATGTCTCCCAAATCTTTAATACCGTGTAGTTAGCTTATAACTTATACTAGCATTATTCATATCGTTTCGTTCACGGCCTCCAAAGTAGGGGGCGCCTTTATAAGCTAACTACACGGTAGTAAAGATTTGGGAGACATTCGTTTTACTTTCCGAGTTTGAATTTGTATCAGCCCAAGTGTCTGACGATGGCTGGGATAGGCCGAAATGATCATAACACTTTAGTGATACCAATTCGAGCACGGGAAGTTTAACGAATTTGTCTCCTGGGCCATATAGTTGGCCATTTAATATATAAAGCGATAGCGGCTTTCGCTAAAAGATTTAATTCTTTACACATTTCGCATAGCATAAAGGATACAGAAAACGATTATTCATATCGTTTCGTTCACGGCCTTCAAAGTAGGGGGCGCCTTTATAAGCTAACTACACGGTAGTAAAGATTTGGGAGACATTCGTTTTACTTTCCGAGTTTGAATTTGTATCAGCCCAAGTGTCTGACGATGGCTGGGATAGGCCGAAATGATCATAACACTTTAGTGATACCAATTCGAGCACGGGAAGTTTAACGAAGGATAATGCCTTTCCCAAGTTAATATGCTCCTCTTCTAACTTGGCTGCACCGTACTGAAGACGACCAATAGTCAGAAATACGTATATACGGTTGCCTTCCATCGATATACCATTTTTGGTTTTTTGTTTTGCGAGACATGCCATTACTTATATATATTTATATATACTATATATATATATATATATATATATATATATATATATATATATATATATATCTATATATATATATATATATATATATATATATATATATATATATTATATATATATATATATATATATATATATATATATATATATATATATATATAGTGTCCGTGAAATACTCTGTATAAACAAGATCTCATATTTCTATAAAAAAACAAAGAAAAATTAAGTATTATCTTTAATATTTTATTGACTGCTATGTAGATGATGATAATATATTACCAACTGTAGATCTAAAATTGACTTACCGACACAAGTCAGGAGCAAAAGATACAAGACCTTCTTCTTTAGTCATCAATGGAGGAAACACAGTACCATCTGTTCCCATAATTTGATTACATTCTTCTGTTGGCCACGCTGACATAACGGGTGAACCGTCATATTCGACTATCCTTCCTACATCGTGAGAATTCTTTGTTCCTCGAAGTGCTTTAATTCTTTTTTGTTCGGTAGCATTTTTCTAAGACAAATAAGATAAAATAATATAGTTATTTTGCCCTAATAATATTTCGCTAATTAATACTTATAAACTTACGGGTCCAATTAATGAGAAGCCTAAATTACTTTCGTCAATTATCTTCAAGCTTCCTGATCCTCTCAACTGTGTACAAATCGCTTTACCTGCAAAATCGGTTACACCACATTTGATAACAACTCCATCAAAAAGAATATCGTCCACTTTGGCTGTTAGGAATATAGACGTTGGATTTTCATATATCGATTTTATAGCTTTGTTGATTAGAGATAAGGCACCAGGTTTTGCTCTGCTAACAGCATTGACAAGTCCCTGGAAAATTGTTATTCTATAAGATCTTTGCGATTACATTGTCTTATTAAATAAAGAGTCAGATAATATGCAAGTATGTAAAACATAAAGATTATAAATGTAACCTGTTTACAAATGTACACCAATTTATAATAAAGAAATCCCAAAAAAATTAAGCTCAGCCTAGACGTTGTTATAAGTTTCTCATTATAAGGACACAAATAAATCTGGTACAGTATAAATATTTGCTCTTAACTAAAACTAAATGTCCTAAACCCATTCTCCCACGTAATTACCAAAGTTTCCATTCCCATATCCTACTCTGTCAGACAGCAGCATCAGTACCAAGATAGAGCGTAAGGGAAATGATCCTGGATCGGTATATTTTTGGATAATAGAGCTGTTAAATTAACCAAACGATTACCGGTATAAGTAATCCCCCACCTGTTGGTCAACAGCTACGGGTGGAAGAACCGACACGTGGTAGGGCACTTCATTGCCCTGGAGCATAGAAATTAACTCCGAAGGCGGAAGAACTAAATTAGTCAACGGCATTGAGATGTGAAAAGCCAGGGGATAACTACCACATTAAAGATCCATAAGGATATCCTTAGTAAAAATCATCATGGATCCACTAATGGATAATTTACTTAATAATTATGGAGCTCGGAATACAAGATCGGGCAAAGGGGATAATCAGATTTAGACGACAAGGCCTCTCAGGTCGTCATCAAGGTAAATCCCTGTCAAGCAAATAAGAATAACTCTATAGCTTTGAAAATTGAAACATAGAACGTAAGAAGTTTATACCAATCAGGTAAACTGGATAATGCTGTGTCGGAAATGTGCAGAATGAAAATTAACACACTGGGCCTTAGCGATATACAATAGCCTGAATCAGGAAAATGTAACACCAGAAATGGAACATTGTATTATTCTGGAAACAACGACTCCAAGCCCAAACAGGGAGTTGGCATTATAGTTGATAAGAATTCTCAAAAAGCTGTTTGTAACTTTGTTCTCTACTCTGATCGAGTAATAATGATGTCTGTAAACTCTCATTTACAACGTAAAATAAATATAATCCAAATATATGCACCCACTGCAGACAAGGATGAAGACACCATAGAGGCCTTCTATGAACAAATCGACAACGTCTTAATTCTAATTAAAGGACAAGATATAAATATTATAATGGGCGATTTAAACGCTAAAGTGGGCCAAGGAGAAGTGGAAAATTGCGTGGGGCGATATGGACTCGGGGAAAGGAATGAACGTGGCGATAGGCTTGTCGATTTCTGTGTCAATGAGGAACTCATAATTACAAATACCTTGTTCAAACTTCCTAAACGTAGACTATATACATGGAGGTCACCAGCTGATAGTAACAACAAAATAGTCAGAAATCAAATAGATTATATTATCGTCAATAGGAGATATAGAAATTCTAGAATATCATCTAAAACTTATCCAGGAGCGGACATATCCTCCTATCCCAACCCGGTTCTTTTGTCGATGAGAGTGAAACTAAAGAAGGTCAACAGCCCTAGCACCAAGAAAATTATGGATACAAGACATCTCAAACAAGACAACACATATGCGGAAACGAAATTCAAAATAAACAAGAACTTAATGAAAGTCAAAGAAGATAATGCAGAAACTCTAACTATTGACCGAAAATGGGGAAACATTCAACATGGCCTTGTGTCAGTTGTAAAAGAAACCCTCAAAATACTTGGAGACAAAACGAAACCTTGGATGACAGTAGAACTTCTTGAACTTATGGAAGAACGTAGAAAACATAAAGCAAAAGACCTAAATAAATACAAAGAAATTCAGAGCAACATCAAAAAGGCAAAAAAATTCGGGAGGCAAAAGAGAGGCTCTCCGATAGATGCAAGGAAGATCTGGATAGATTATGTCACTGGACCAATTACATCCAACAACTATTCAATGATGAAAGAGAAGAACTGTCATTAGAAATCACCGAGGATACCGGACCAAAAATATTAAGAGAACAAGTCATCTATACCATCAAAAACACAAAAGAGGGTAAAGCTACTGGACCAGATGATGTGCCCATCGAATTATTAAAACTCATCGATATAGATATTATTGATGTAATGGTTAAACTCTTTAATCTAATATATCAGACTGCCACAATCCCCAGACAATGGCTGCAATCGACCTTTGTAGCAATTTCCAAAAAGCTAAGTGCAACAACTTGCATCAGATCACAGAACAATAGCTTTAATGAGTCACACACTTAAAACATTTTTGAAAATAATTCACAGCAGGATTGTTAAAACTCTTGAATATGAAATTAGTGACACGCAATTTGGCTTTAGAAATGGTAGGAGTACAAGAGATGCTTTGTTCGGCTTAAATGTGCTGGCTCAGAGATGCATGGACATGAATCAGGACATGTACTTATGTTTTGTAGACTTTGAAAAGGCATTTGATAAGGTTCAACATAAAAAGCTTGTAATAATATTAAAAAGCAAAAATATTGACAGTCGTGATATGAAAATTAAATCTAATTCATATTGGAATCAAACTGCCAAGGTAAGAGTTGACAGCCAGTACACCCAAAATATCAAAATACAGAGAGGAGTCCGCCAGAGTTGCGTGCTGTCCTTTGTAAGTAGTAACCTCAAAGTAATTGAGGTTTCAACACCATTTCTAGACCGTCGGTAGCAGACTTAAGTATTAGGACTACAATTTTAATAAAAGACACCCCATTCTATGTAATTAATAAAAATCACCATTTTCAAAATCATTGTTTTAATAACAACATCTTATATTACTTCTGTGGAGCTTAATTATTTCCCAATACTATAAGAGATATTTACTGATTACTATTGAACAACGTTGTAACCGCCAAATATGTGGGTTTTCGATAAAACAACGTTTTGTATGTGCAAAATAATGTACTGCTGACTGTGATGAATATTATGAGACCTAACTCGCCTGTTTTCGTGGTTTGAAAATTAGTCAAACTTCAACTTTCGGTGTAATAATTTTGTATGTTGTCGAGTTTCGTTTTTTGCACGTGTTATACAAGTTAACGTTTTCAATTGTGTAATTTATCATTTCGAGCCAAAATGGATGTTAGTATAACCAAGTCACTGATTATCCAAATTAACACGAAGCGGAAAAACAGGAATGCATAACATTGATAGGTGAAAGTAGAATATTAGAAAACGTTGCAGAGATGTTTGATGCAGTGATTTGTACGTTTCGTCTAGAAATTAATGGATCAATTCTATGAGTGATGCGAATAAACACATAAGTCAAAAACGGCAACTTTTCAGGAGAACGTAAAAACTGATTGATTCCTACATTATGAAGCACCCATTAATAAAATTTTATAACTTACCGTGATTGTAATGTATTACATAATGTCTTGTAGAAAATAAATTACAAATATATATTTTTTCCTGAGTTTTGATTGACTTATTCCATTTGTCACCCACAATGAGTATAACAAAGTAACATGTGTTTTTTCACAATAAATAAAATATAACAAATAACCAAAAATAATGTAATATTCTAAAGTAGTGAAGAACAAAATCATCAAATTAACAATGCATTTTACAGAAAGTTTATTATTTATGTTAAAAGGTATTTACACACATCAGTTGTTAAAATATTCATCAAATTCTTGTACATCGGGATCGGTAAAAGTTGACTTTGAAGGATACGGCAATTGTTTATAAAAATCATGAAAAACAGGTGGAATGTAGTCAAGTAGTACCAAGAGATCCCTTCTCTTTTATTCGGAAATTGGCAGTGGCATGTTTGTAATCTGTGGAACATTGATTCCTTCATCTAGCCATTTTTGTGCTGCGTTAATGCGTAAGAATGATACTTGTTGGTATGGTTCATACTCGTCTAAGCTACATTTAAAATTGATTTCGTCAAAATTTTTAGTGTACTGAAAATATCGTACAGGTTGCCACTTAAAGTCATTCTTTGCTACATCCTTCTTTCTTTTTACAAGTGGGCCTTTTAACATAGCTGAGGATGTTAAAAAGTCAGTCTGGGTCATTTCGACAACCAACACTAAACCTAACCTAATCTAACCTAACCATCGCGAACCCACTGATACCAATCATAAGGATGGCTGATTAAAGTATTGGTTGTTTTCTTGTTTCTTTCTATGATAGCCTGGTCACCATCCACTTCCGTATGGAAATGCCCAGAAAATAATAGTTTATGTTCTATAACTTCAAGGTTTTGGAACTTTTGTAACGCTAACATTAACATCGCAGTCACAAATGAATTTTTGTTCTACCCCCCGCAAGTATCTGAGTATATTATTACTTTTTTAAAAAAAGGCGGTAAGGTTTGAATATGTTTTTAAAGACAAGACGCAATTTTGTTGGCTCATTATATTGTTGTATACATTAGGGATATTGTTGTAAAAAACTAAGATAACTAAGAACTATTTAAAATCTAGAGAAGCTAGTCTAACTTATAAAAATAAGAAGCTATATATTTGGCTAAAAGCGCCACCATTGGTTAAAGGGTAACCTAGCTTTCTTTATAAACCCAAGGTATTCGCAATTAGGTGTGGATACACCTGTTTAAGCAAGAGAATCCTTGCCTGGGAACAATTCGATTACTTTTGTCAAAGGCCAGTGGAGTAGGCCAGAGGAGTGGGGAAGTCTCTTTATCTTTGATTACTACCACATCAACTATCATTAAAAGATCAGTAGGAATATTCTACTTAATCTTACTTTGTCGTAGTAGCATATCCGATACAAGCAGTGGAAGCGTCGGGCATCTGGGAAATGGAATGTTATATATGAATTGGAATGTATCCAATAATGATTTCCATTCCGAGATCAATAGTTTATCTAATATATCATTGTCCCAGTCTAAGGGCAATGATCAGAGACGTTGTAAAAAAGATTAAGAGTGTACTCTAAAAGATAAGAGTTTTCCTAAGGAGTTATACATTCGAGAAACATAGGTACACAATTTTTTTTTGTTAAGGAGGCGCCTCTTCACAAAGAGGCGACTTAAAAAAGAAATCGTATTGATAAGGTGACCTCTTAATACTTAGGATCTTAGAGAAGCTATTAATTAAGACAAGATTAACTTTTGATATGGAGACCATATTACATTCATTTAAAATGGCATGAAAATTTAAATGTATTTTATAGAGTTGAAGTTCGATGTAGAATTAAACAGGCAAGAAACTCATTTCAAAAATTCAAGCCTTTATTATCCAATAACTCATTAAATTTTTAATTCCGTGAAAAGTTTACAAGATGTTACGTGTGGTCTGTACTTTTGTATGGATGTGAAACTTAAACCTTAAACGCCGATATCATGAATAAAATCGAGGCGGTTGATATGTGGTTGTATCGAAGGATACTAAAAATTCCATGGACTAGCAGAACCAGAAACGAAGAAGTTCTTCGAAAAGTGGGACATCAACGAACTCTATTAAATATTATTAAGAGGCGTAAACTAGAATATCTTGGACATATAATCAGAGGACCAAGATATGAGTTCCTTCGGCTAATTCTCAACGGTAAAATCGAAGGAAAGAAATGGATAGGACGGGAGAAACTCTCTTGGTTGAGGAATTTGCGGCAGTGGACAGGTTTGACAGCGGACCAATTGCTACACGTAGTGCAAGGCCGAGATCAGTATGACAATATTATAAGCATAGTAGTCGCCGACGTTCCGTAGGGATATAGCACTCTAAGAAGAAGATAGATTTGGAAACCGTTAGTGTTCAAAAGCGAGCGTAGTTGAGAGTAAGGTATGTATATTCTTTCCAGGTTATTGGCGCTGGTCCAAATATTTGCAGAACTTTTTAAAGTATGAGAGGCCACTGAGTGTATTGTTTGATTAGCAAAAGTTTAAACCTGAGAGATAGTAAACAACGGAGTAGGGCACGTTACATTGACGTTCACCATATCAGGAGACGGCAAGACAGACTGAGCCATCAAAGCCGGAATATTGTTGGGTACTGCAAGTGCTCTTGTTAGTTGGCCCTTTATGAATAGTAGGGCAACGGTAACACAAGAAAAGACAGGTTTGAATGAATCTAATGAATTAGATTTTAGGGTGGTATGAGTAAGAACAGTTTGTCTTGAGAGAACTTTGTTGACAGCCGTGTTATTACGATGCTTTGAAAGAAGTATTTGATTTTCATGTATTAGTGGAGGAGGTATGGACTTATTCGGAGGAGAGATGATTTTCAAAAAAGCGGCATGTACATCACCATCTTCACAAAGGATTGCAAATGATAATAAGTCGATATATTTTTGTGTTGAATTATTATTCAAATGAAAGAAAGGGGTGTGAATATATTTAAGCTTGAATAGAGAGTTTTATTAACCTGTCGGTTAAAATATTTACGAGCATTTAAAGTTTCAGGTTGAGAGATACCTTGATATTGTAATACGAGTTGGGAAGGTGTGCTTGCCAATTCGTTTGGCACACCGCAAGAAGGCGGTACTCAGAGTTAGGTTTCCAAAAAACTAATGGAGACAAATTGACAGTTGCAGAATCGTAGCAGAAACTAAACATTTTGTGTATGTAAAAGCTTGAGTAAGAAACCAAAGTATTGGATTTTCCTACAATATTTATGGTGGGGAAGAAATGTTAAGGAAGTACAGGCGATGCAGAGCTTACAGTTTCCAGTAATCGCATTATGTCCTGATAGTTTTGGAAAGATACTGTTTGTGCTGTGTAACGACATTTTTAAGAAGAGGCTGGCAATTACATCATGAAAAACTAATGTTATAAGAAGTGATTTCAAAGTCGGCTTTTATAAGCTTTTGTTTTGCGTCTGAGCCTTGAACAATATGCAGATGAAATGATGTACTTATATTTATATTCTTCTCATTTTGTTTTTCACTGATTTGGAAAGAGTCGGAGTAAATGCTATTTTAAACTTCTTGTTGGCCATATTTTATTCAAATCATACTTTAAACCAATGTGACAGGAATGTTCGCATAAAATTTATGTATCAATGCTGTAAAGGTTTGTTTAGCCTTCTTGTTTTATCTTCTAAGAAACATAAAGCATCCCATATTTATTTTTCATAAGTAATATCAACTTTCTTCACTTTCGAGTATAGTTTTCGTCCGACAGCCAGGTTTTCCAAAGCATTTAAATATAATTTATAACTGCCCTAAAGCTGAGCAATATATTCTCTGATTCTACAATTAAAGAGGCCTTGTTCATTAAAACGAACAACGTTCGCAATTCTGGTGATATTCGTTTGTGAAACAATTTCTGCCATTTTTAATTGGAGTATATTATAGCTAAATAGAGTATAATAAGAGTATACCAGACAGATATGAATGATAAAGAGAATAAAAACTAGCGACCATTGGAAGGAGTACAAAGAGCAGAGAGAGAAATATGTATATATAAGAGTGTAATGAGATTATCAATTTCTTTTTTTATTTTGTGAAAATTATATTTGGTATCGTGAATTTAATTTAAATCAACAATAATAAAGATAACTTTCATTGATTTAATAAAACAGTAGAGATTATTGTAAACATTTAGTTAGTCTAACTAAGCGATTTCAATAAAGCTATTACTATACTAAGGATTATTGAGAGTAATAGCGGAGAATTCTTGAAGTTTATTATGCAGAACAATATGACAGATTCCCAATTTATTTATCTAAACACGTAGCTAAGAAGAAACGTGACAGACAACAATACAATTTTTACTTGACAAAAGGGTGGAATTTTTACTACGTCACAGATATCAAATTGGGTATTTACTTCTACTTGAAAATTTCCACAGGTAAGAATTATTAAACAACGATTTATCAATATATTGATTTACCATTACAAACGTATATATATATATATATATATATATATATATATATATATATATATATATATATATATATATATATTATATATATATATTCACAACAAATCTATCAACGGAAGTAGCTTTCTTTACACCAATCAAATTTATAAAATTATCGGTCTCGCCAAATGTTTTAAGGAAGCAACCTTTACATGTTTGCAAACGCTGTCCATCAAGTTCAAAAAAATATTTGTATGTTTTCTGTCAAAATTTTTGACGATTAGGATCTTCAATTCTGGGTCTACTTACATCCTTATTGTCGATATTTATTAATGATCCAATATATGCAGCTCGTTTTTTATAAGATTTTAAATTCTGATACTCATTAAAAAGGGTACGTCTTTTTTCATCTAAAAATTTGGCTTGGCATAGTCTTCTGCATGGTCCTAAAGGCAACATTTTTCTATCGCTGCGGAGCTTTCCTTGACGAGTTCAGTACACAAGACCTGCGTTTCGTTTTTCCGTTCTGTCGCGACGGAGCGACGTGCGGGGAATGTTATCACTATCACTGTTTGGTGTATATGTCGGATCACGATCCGAATCATCACTGTCTATACTGCACTCTAACTCTCCTAAAACAAAATAAATCCATTGTTTTTTATCCCAGAGTAATCATGTCTTATTTTTATATTTTCGAAGGTATCTGCATGTGTATACAGGATTAATAACTACATATCTAAATAAATAAATAAATAAGTCGTGTAGTGCATGTAAACAACGATTTTACTTGTTAAAGATGTTCAAAATTTATCTATAACACGTTGCTGTAAAAGATTTATTTACTTACCATCGGCCAATATGTTCGCCTGCCCTAACGCGAGCTGTAAAATATTTGTACTTCGTCGACTTATACTTGTTATCAGAATAACGACTGACCACAAACCACTAATACGTAGCGACTGACAAATCATTGAGATGAGTAAATACACATGTCAGATTTATGTGTTTATTCACAACAAATTGATGTAGGCGTAAGAACACATAAGTCGACTTATGTGATTATACACTATCATTATTAGTTCAGTTTGACCTATATTGATTTTCACAGTTACTTTTCATAGAGATATAATAAGTTTTTGACTTATATCATTTTACAAAACCACGATAGGTACAATAAGGATACGACTTAATTTTTTTTTCATTGTTTGACTTATGTGCTTATTCCCACCACCCATAGAATTATTATAAGGTGTTTTTTTCATTTGTAATTTTGCGTTTACAACGTTGCTCTAGCATAATATTCAATTATTGTTAAAAAATATTTTAATTTTGTTAGTAAAAAAAAACAAATATAATAGATTATAGGGATTTATGATGTTAGAAACTGTATTTAAATTCCTCCTGACTTAACTGTATTAAACTTAATGTAATACAACAGGTAATTAATAAAAGACAGGTAATTTCGATGAAAAAATTAAATATTTAATAATTGCGATTTATTGTCGAAATAGAAGCATTAGGTTCCAAATTTTTTTATTGTTTGCTTTGTGAAATTCCCATGTGACGCTCCAAACGGTTCAATTGCTTTTTTCTCGAAAAAATTTGAAATTATCGATTTTGAACAGATAATATTATTACTAAAATTAATATTTACGTTATAGTTTCAAATTAAAATATATAAAAAATGCATCAAGAAAAAATTTGACATAATTGGCCAAGAGCTATATTTTGGCCCAAAGATCCCAATAGTTATAACTCACCCTGTATTATAAAACTTACATTAAATTTTGCCATCAATTTTTCACTTTTACTTACGAGTATCATTGGATGTGGGATTGTTACTACTACTTGTCCTGAGACACAACCTGGACCTGATGTTCTTGTAAAAGTATCTTTAGAAAGATAGGTGATTATATCACTTTCTTCTTCATCAGTTACATCTACTTTTTCTTTCCATTCTCTAAAATTTAAATAAAGCATTAATGTAGGATCTTAGTCAGTTTCTAAATTAAATTAATTATAGTTAAAGGACAAAGTTTGCTATAAATAGTTATTTAAATCACGTATTGGACTTCGGCTATGATAACAGTAATTAAAATAGTAACTACGAAAACAATTGGGTTCACAAGCTAAAACAAAAATACTATTTAAAATACACTCAACGAAAGTCTATGACATAAAAACACGCTTGTAATGATACACTCTTTTCCGCGCCAAGAGGACGTGGTTTAGTTATTTTTTCCCGGCTTTTCGTTAGATTCTGTAAAATGGATATGAGAATGGAAAAAGATAAACAATTTTGTACATACCGATATGACATTCTTGATATAAATAAATACTATTTTAACAGAATCCTTAAATGGTTTAATGATCCAATGGCCAAACTTAGCAGTCATAATTGTATATTATGTCTGAATTTAGGAATCTTCTTCTTAGGGTGCCTGTCCGTTCCGAACGTTGGCGATCATTCTGGCTATGATGACTTTGTTGGTTGCTATACGAAATAGCTGGCTTGAGGTCTTTCTATACCATGCTCTTAGGTTAGCAAGCCAGGATATTCTTCTTCGTTCTGGGGCCCTTTTTCCTCCAATTTTACCTTGCAAAATGCATTGAAGTAGCTCGTATCTGCCTTGATTCCGCATTATATGTCCCAAGTACTGCAGCTTACGTCATTTCACGATGTTGATCAAATCCGCGGTTGTGTTCATCCTCCGCAGTACTTCTTCATTGGCGATACTTCGGCGATCGCAGTACTTTGTCTGTTCATGCTATCTTCAGGATCCTTTCGTATAACCATAGCTCAAAAGTCTAAAATTTTGATAGAGTTGCCGCCTTCAATGTCCACGTTTCTACTCCGAACAGAAGCACTGAGTACACGTAACATTTAAGCAGTCCTATTTTTGTTTCTAGGGTATGGTCATGACTCTTGAACACAGAACTTATAGTCAATAATGTTTTGCACTTTTTGCCTTTTTGATATTGGGTATTGTCCCATGACATGACATTTAGGGATAACAGTTAATAAACTATTAAATCTCGCAATAATTTCAGCTATTTTATTTTTCTGGATTTTCGCATCTTTCCCTTATATTTTATAGAAATACGTTTAAAAACGGTCGAAAATGACACATTCCAGTTTTTAATTGATGATATATTAATTATTGTTCAGATACTAAAAATCCAGCTATAAACATTCTTCTTCTTCTTCAAGTTTCGCTCCTATGGGAGAGTGGAAATCATTCTGGCAATTATAATTTTGTTGGTTACGCGCCTGAATAGTTCAATTGAACTGCATCCAAACCATTCACGGATATTGCGTAGCCACGAGATTTTACGTCTTCCTATGCTCCTTCTACCTTTGATTTTACCCTGCATTATATTCCTTAGAAGTTCGTATTTTTCACCTCTCATGATGTGCCCCAAGTATTCCAATTTTCTGATTTTTATTGAATTTAAAACTTCGCATTGTTTTCCTAGTTGTTCGAGAACTTGTTCATTTGTTTTGCGATCCATCCATGATATTTTCAAAATACGTCGGTAACACCACATTTCGAATGCTTCTAGGTTTTTAATGTTGGATTTTTTAAGTGTCTAAGCTTTAACTCCATACAAAAGGATAGAGAAAATATAACATTAAAGTATTCTTATCCTGAGCGATATATTGATATCGCGATTACAAAAAAGTTTTCTTATTCTATTAAAAGTTGACCGTGCAATTTCAATGCGGCATCTTATTTCTTTTGTCTGATTAGTATCTTCTGTATTCCATGCTCCAAGGTATTTGTACGAAGATATTTGTTCAATTTCTGTATTATCTAGTACTAAGCTTAACTTTGATGTTTTGTGCTTCTGTAAATACCATGAACTTGGTTTTCTTCAAATTTATTTTTAGTCCATAATCGTTGCAATATATATTTAGTTGTTCAGCAAGGTGTTGCAGTTCTTCTAGTGTTCCTGCCAGAAGGACGGTGTCGTCAGCATATCTTATGTTATTAAGTGGCTTACCGTTTATTATAAGGCCCTCACTGATCTCGGCAAGCGCTAATTCTGAGATGGATTCACTGTATAAATTAAATAACAAGGGTGATAAAATACACCCTTGGCGAACCCCACGGCGAATTGGGATATCCTCGGTCAGTTTGTTTTTAACTTTTACTTTTGCTGTTTGATTCCAATAGAGGTTACAGATGATTCTAATGTCTCTACTGTCTACGTTTTTATTTAATAAAATTTCTTTAAGCCGATTACGCTGCACTTTCAATGCCTCTCAAATCATGAACAGCATATCTTCCGATAATCAAATCTCTGCGAAGACACTACTGCAACTGTGCATCTTGTGTTCCCAGTCCTTTCCTAAATCCCATTTGTGTATTACTTATGCCTTCATCTAATTTCTTATGTATTCTATTGAGAATTACTTTTAAAAACAATTTCAAGACATGACTCATTAAGGCTATGGTGCGATGTTCATTGCACTCCTTTGCATTGGTTTTTTGGGAAGCAGTATGAATGTTGATTGGAGCCATTCTTTAGGTATTATACCTGTTCTATATATGGTATTGAATAGATCCAAATGAAGATCAATATATTTAGTATTCACAATTTTAAGTAATTCGATAGGAACTTTTAGTCGAGATTACTACCTACTTGTTTATCAACTCGTTTAATGTCAGGCCCAGTATCATCATTAAATTCTTTTGGTGCTTCTGTTCTCTCTTTGTCTTCAAAAAGTTGTGCTATATATTGTGTCCATCTTTGCACTTTTTGGTTTATATCTGTTATAAGTGCACTACTTTCATCTCTTAGTTGCCTAGTTTAAAGTGTTTTTCTCATTCCTGTTAATTCTCTAATTCGTTTATGCATGTTAAAAAGTCATTTTTTCTCAATTTCTTCTAGTTCTTGGCACTGCTCATGTAACATTCTCTCCTTAGCTTCTTTTATTCTCTTTTTAATTAATCGATCAGTTTCATTATATTTAATTGGATTTTTTGTTTTGAATGATTTTCTTTCATTCATTAATAGTAGTACTTCTTCAGTCATCCAGTCTTTATGTTTTCTATTCTTTGGTTTTAAGTTTTCATTTGCTTTAATTAAATTAGTTTTAATTATTGCTACTTTTATATTTTCCCATTTCTGATCAATGTTATAGCTACTTTTATTCAGTTCCTGGGCATTACGTAGATTTTCAGTAAGAGTTTTTACAGTGTGTTCCTTTGTTTGTGCTTCCCTTAATCTCTTAATATCAATTCTACTTTGTGTGGGTTTTTTAACCAGTTTTAATTTGGTTCGTAATGTGACTACTATGGGGTTACGGTCTGAACCGATGTCTGCTCCAGGGTAAGTTTTGTAATGATTTCCATGTTACAATCTTCTTTTGGTAGCTTAAAAAGTGTATTAGCTATTACAACTTCTTCCGTCTGGCAAAATTGTATCAAACGGTCACTACGTTCATTTCTATTTCCTAGACCATATTCCCCCACATATCCATCCACTCTTCCTGGCCAACTTTGGCATTGAAGTCGCCCATTACTATTGTAGTGTGATGTTTCTTCATTGATTTTAAGACTTGTTCCAAATCATGGTAAAATAAAGCTAGAAACATAATTATTGCCAAGAGGTCAGCCAGTCTCTTTTGTATAATGTATATATTTTGTATAACGTTGAGTTCTAGATATGTTAAGCTTCTCATTATGTCCGTATTTACTTCTACCATAATTTATTTTATTTCATTTTATATTTGTATTTCTAGTCTAATATAAAGTCATGTCTAAAATGAAGTATTAAAGTATTATTGAATAACATTTGACTGACAAAATGTTAGCCACTGAGTTGATACTGAGTTAGGATACTTATGTTTTAACCTTTGGATAGGCATTTTCATTTATATATTATTTATAATCCCTACTACGATGAAATACTCTTTTTTGTAGCTATTGATACGCCTTAGCCCAAATTTCAAAATACCATAAACGGAGTCCTAATACAATTCGAAGAAATATGACTATTATTATTAAATAACCTGCAATAAAATACTTGGGAAAGGTATTTAAGGCTAAGAAGATTTGTTGGTTAGATAAAATGTTAGTTAGATAAAAAAAGGACAACGAATGCGTGTTACGGAAATTATAATGCTTAGAGTAGGAGTCATCATCAGAATCACGGTACTACAGCCCTAAAAGACCTCGACCTTTTTGTGCCATTCTGCTCTATCTCTTGCTTGGGTTTTCCAGTTGGCAGCATCGGTCTTCATAGTATACTGTGCTACGTCGTCTATCCACCGAATCTTTGTTCTGCCCGTCTTCGTATTTTAATCGACTGCGCTGTTAAAATAATTCTTATCATATTTATTTCAATGCATGTCTTACCCAGTGCATTTGGTTTTGCTTAATTATGGTGGAAATAGCTTTTCAACCAAATTTTTGCTTGTAGATATTCTTTATCTAAAAAGTATAGATAGTATAGTATAGATATACTGTGTCCGTAAAGTATGGAACAAATTCTTTTTTAGCTAAACAGGCATTTTAAGAAATAATCCTGAAACACGTCGATTTTTGATTTTAATTTGCCTTATTTTAAAATAATATTCTAATATACAGGGTGAATTACTTTCGAGTAATGGCGTCACCGTATTTTTTTTTAATAGAACACCCCCATTTTGTCTCAATTTTCGGATCACTCTAGCTGAGCTAATTCCAAAAATGTATCACATGTTGATTCAAATTGCTACAGGGTGGACAAAAATACAATAGTTTTGTGTCTGTTCATAAAGTAACGCATTAGTTAAATTAACAATATTATCAAAAATACTTTTTGTCTAGCGGACAGAATATGATGAAATACATGACTTTATAAATGTTCGAACTGCAGCCCTTGCTGTACTTGACAGTAACCCAAACGTTCTACAAATTCTTGTTGAACCTTGTTTTTTCTTGAGAAATATTGTTTATTGCTGTTCGAATT